ATATTGCAAATCCGCATGGCAGTATGTAATAGAACTATTATTCAGCTACAAAATGAGCCATAATACTTTAAAATGGGGCCGAAAATACGTGTGCTATGCGTAAAAATATGACGGACCTAATAATCGCGATCTTATTCCTTTTTATTATGTTTACATTTTACATGACAAATCATGTACAGAATACTTGCATTTGATATAATTATCTATCATTTACCTATTATTGATGCTCTAATGGGGTTTTACAACGTATAATATTTGACGAAAGAATAACTTTTCTCCAGTCAGACGGGTACCAAACGCATACTTTTCCCCGCGCGGTCTGGACCATGAAAATCGTTTTTTAAATCTGCTGAATAACTCTACGGGTCACGTAGCCAAATTTCACTCTCAGACCCCGTGGAAAGACGAAAAACAATTACTTGGCGATGTGAAAGTATGTATATAAGGTATATGAGCACATATAGATAATTTTCGTGTACCCCATGACCTTTTGTTTATTTATATTGTTACTTCCGTTTGTTTCTTTGTTAGTTTGTTGATTGTTTTTGTTGTTTTTGTCTGTTAATTTGTTTCTAATATTTCTAAAAGTTATGAACACATTTTAACGAGATTTTAACCAAAGGTGAGTTTTAACCTAACTTAGACACTTATTGCAGTTTGGTGGTGATGCGGACCATGGTTTGGATCCAGGATTTTTTTTTCTAACCTGAGGTTTGTCTTAGCCTAATTAATATTCCATAAAATTTTGGTGGGTGGGGGGATGGGGAGGTTTGCATTTTCGAAATGTTTTACTCATAGATCAAAGTAACTATGTATGATGAAAACACAAAGAAAAGAAAATACACCATATGAATAACATATCATATTTAGTTATTTGTATGGAAAATTTCTTCATTGTCGTTTTTTGGACGCTTGCCGGATTTTTTAAATTATTCCAAAAAAAAGATGATTGGTCTCATCTTATGTGAAATTTGATAAGCTTTCAGAAAATAACCTCATATTTTATTATCTCTAATCATTGCGTCACAATTGCCGATTTCCTAAGGTAACATCAAGAAAATAATATTTCAGTCGACATCGAAAATCGCTGCTACCACCTAGAAAATAACAGTCGGGCCTTGAAATTTTCAGGGGAGAACCAGGGGCCTAGAAACTCCTTGAAAATGCATTAAAGTCAAATTCGGCAAGAGGGGCGAAAATCGCCGAAAAATCACCAGAAGGTCCCCTGAATGCAAGACTCCCCCATCGCCAGCCTGAAATAACACCGCCCCCGCTGCGACGTCGCTCGCGTCCACCTGCAACACGAACGGCTGGCTGAAGTCCAGGCTTTTCAACACAGGTTTCGTCATCAGAATGGATCGGATCTTCTCGAAAGCTGCTTGGCACTCTGAGGACCAGACGAACTTCTCTTTCGGGCTCACCAGGGCAGTGAGTGGACTTGGGACATCCGCAAAGTTCGGGCAGAACCGTCGGTAATAACCTGCCATCCCCAAAAATCGCATCACACCTTCTCGACTCGTGGGTCCTGGAAATTGCTGGATTGACTCTACTTTGGCCATGACGGGGCTTTTCCCCCCTCCTATTTCGTGACTCAAGAAGACGACCCGTGCATGAGCAAATTCACTCTTCACTAAATTGACAGCCAAGCAAGCTTTTTTCAGGCGTTGGAATAAAACTCGCAAGGACGCTACATGCTCCTCCCAAGTTAATGACGTTACTAAAGTGTCATCAATACTCCACTTAACCCTGCCACTACCTTCCCCATCAACCGCTGGAACGTGGGTGCAGCATTTCGCATGCCAAAAGGCATCACCTTATACTGAAACAATCCATCATACATAATGAAGGCGGATATTCTTTTAGCTCGATCTGTCAGTGGTACTTGGTAATAGCCTTTCAACAGGTCGAGTTTGGTAACATAGGGAGCCACACCCACGGAATCAATTATATTGTCGATTCTGGGGAGAGGAAGGAATCGGCACGGGTTAGGGCATTCACTCGCCTATAATCTGTGCACATACGCATCGTATTGTCTGTCTTGGGGACTAATAGCACGGGGACGTCCACTCACTCTCACTCTGCTCAATTAACCCATGACCGAATAGGAAGCGAACCTCTTCCCTCAATATTTCCTTCTTGGATGGTGACAGTCTGTACGGCGATTGTTTGACAGGGACAGCGTCCTCTTTTAAAATAAAATCATGAGAAATTACTGGGCTCTGGCAGGGCACATCACTGACTGTGTCTAGAAAGTCACTTAGAAGAGAAACTATAATTGTTTGTTGATCTCGTTCTAGATGCGAAAGTTTCTCATAAGGATTTTGAAGAACGTCTGAATTACGCAGCTTCACGTCCACCTTTGTTACTTGAAAATCATCTATTATCTTATTCTTCTCATTGCCCCCTTCGTATACAAGGATGTTCACCACCTGAGGGCCTCGTGTATGATAAGCCTTTATTATATTTACAAGCACGAATATTTTACTTTTCCTACGCCCAG